GCAACATTAATAGGCACATGTTTACCATATCTAATTTATATAGAAAAAAAATCAATTTATTATAAGTGAATTTCAGCCTAAATAATTACTCCACTAAAAAAAAGGTTTATAGAATAGAATATAAAATCCTTGAAATGTCCCACAGTGGGGAAATTCTGCTGTTTACAGCAGCAAAAAGATTACAAAAAGAAATAGTCACACAAATATGGACCTTAGAAAAATTTATAAGAATAACATAATAGTGAATAGCAAGTAAAATACTGTACTGTAAAGTGTTTTAACAGTATAAAACTGCACTTGGACAATAAAATAACCAATATACAGCTATATATACAGTATATGGATATTTCAAAACAGCAGCAACATCAGAGATGTGCAAAATGACAGCAGCATGTTATTTAACTGACTAAATCAGAAACGGTGCAAAAATCAGCATGAATGTAACATCTTATTGAGGATGTTGGGAACAGAGTTTTACAGCAGCTTGGAGGAAGGATATGTGATAACGCTCTCTGGTGCAATTAGGGTGCAGCAGACGACAAAGAAGTAGTTTTATTATTGTTGGGTAATAATTTAGTAACTTCATAATCTACTACATAGACTATTGAGACATCCAAACGCTTCAACATGATATAGAATTTATTTCTTAAAGTTGATTGGTATTTTACGGGGTTGAAATTTACCACTTTTTTTTTTTTTTCTAAAATCCATTCTTGAGAAGTCTGTTAGCCAAATACTCAAATTGACCTTGTTTCTGACACTAAAAGCCATAAAAAGTACAAAGGTTTCAGCTTTTCAGCTCATAGGATCTGATCAACCGAATGAACAGTTTTTTCACTTCTCTCTTGGTGAATTATTGATCAGAGGTTCTCCTTACAACAGGGGCGGACCTAGATGGGGGGCCAGGGGTGGCCATGGCCATCCTTAGCCAATCATTTTTTCCCTTTATTACAGATGGTGGGCGCAGTATTACTCTCAAGTGGAATATTCAAAACATTTTGTTTTTTTTTTGTGGTTAATTATACACATCAATAAACTAACATCAAAGATGATAAGTACAGAATTCCTGCTTTTTTCAGAGCTAGATTTTGTGTTATATGGGGTAAAGAGAAAATTATGTGTCTCTGCAAGTCATCTAGGAGTCTCGAGTGAAATCAAAGATAAATAATTTTAATAAAAACTTATCAAATAATTTATGTAGATATTAGTGCTTGTAAATATAAATTTTATGCAGAATGTTTATTGATACAGGTAGGTAAGTAATGACAATGGAGTTTTATCGGACTGGGAACGATTTTCGGCCTTGACATTTTTCCATCTACACAGGCCCACTATGGGGCTTTGGTTATTAACACGGACACAACAGTGACTGCTGCTGCTGCCGCTGCGTAATGTCCACACCTGCACAAAGCCAGCCAGACACCCACTCACCCATACTAGGTCTACAACGTAAGCCCGAGTGTTGTAAAAACACCAACATAAAACAATACAATAAAGAGGCAGACAGGCAGTTCTTTAAGAATGAAAACATTAAAGTTCAGCAGAGTGTAAGCATTCACTTCAACTCTAGGTGGCATGTGAGCAATGAAACTGAATAATGTAAAAGATGCAAAACCCCATCATGCACCGCAACATGTTGCAAAATATTCTAACATAAATTCGCCAAATATAAGAAGAACATCAAAGTTTGGTTCAAAGAAAGCATTTTAGTTTTATTATAATTTAGTTTGTTGCAAGGATTTTACAGCTTGAAGAAATAGAAAATTACACCATATGCCAACGGTCACAAGGATGTGCAGGACAAGGAAGGGCTGTATATACTGCATGCATCATTTAGGTAGTTAACATTGTATTAATTCCTGAACTCCTTCAGTTATTTACTGTTACAGGTAGGTGCTTCGGCCGGAGAGTAAGTGTTGGGGCCGGTATCACAGATTACCAGTCCGAGCCTGCACTATACTTTATATTTAGAAATTACGGATGTTTAAATATATGAGTCTATGTTTTAGCAAAGGCTGTAGGAAAGTATAGTTTGTCTTTATTTAGAAAATATGGATGTTTTGCTCATTAATTTTCCTGTTGGAACAGTGCAGATCTAGAACGCTGCTGCCCATGTCCTCACTAAGACTAAGAAAGTAGAGCACATCACTCCAGTTCTAAAGTCCTTACACTGGCTCCCTGTATGTCAGAGAATAGACTTTAAAATACTTCTGTTAGTCTATAAATCTTTGAAGGGCTTAGCACCTAAATACATCACAGATTTGCTATCAGTGTTCCAGAAAACTGTAAAAGTGCGGAAAGCCTGAGTTCCTTTAAATCAAGACTAAAAACACATTTGTTTAGGATTGCCTTAGACTGTTCTACTTAAAAAGTTCAACTGAAACATCATTAGTTCATTTTTTTTCTTTAGTCCAACTGCTTTTAATGTTCTTTCTTGTTTCTGCATTTTTTTTCTTCTACTTGCTCTGATTCTGTTTTATTTTCCTATATTTTAATCATATAAAGCACTTTGTATTGTCTTTGTACTGAATTGTGCTATATAAATAAATTTGCCTTGCCTTGGCTGTGAAGTTCTGGCGCCTATCCGCTTTCGGCCCCCCCTCAGTGTACATTAGTTATTGCCTGGCCCCCCTTATAAAATTTCTGGCTACGCCCCTGCGCTTCCAGCGATGCTGCTGGGATGATCATGAGGATGGGAACAGGAAGTTAACGTCACTGACAGAAATGGGACCAAAGGAAGAAAACACCACGATGATGAGGAGGAGAACGTCAAAGCAGCTTGTTTAAAGAAGGAAAAACCACCGAAGTGCATCCAGCTTTAAGCGAGGAGAAACAATGAGCTGCCATGTCGGAGCTGGATCTGAGGCATCAGGAAGGTAAAGCTGCTGCTTTCCATCTGTCGCAGCTGTGGAGGTGAAGCTCTCACCTCACACCAAACATCCATCCTTCATCTTTAACTTTTAAACACGACGAGTTTAATTCCTCCCCACCAGCAACTCAGACGAACAGGTGTTTGATAGTTAGCCAACTAGCCGCGGAGGCTAACCCAGTTAGCATGTAGCAGTTGATGCGAACTGAGTGGAAATTCACCAGCTTCTCAGGCTGTCTGTGGTCATGTTGGGGCGGAATGCCATAGAAAAGCGTCTTTGGGTGCAAACGGATACATTTAAACTAAAAGCTAATTTTCTTTATACAAATGCAGATGTAACCGATGCTAACGGCACCTAGCATCGGGTATATCTACAAAGGATTGGCTGAATACGTGCAGTCTGTTGACAAGGCTTTCATAATTTAATCTGAAAACCTGTAATCCTGTTTTTTTTTAATGTTTTTTTGTTTGTTTTGTTCCTAGAGATCAAAGTTTCTTCATTCCTTCTTCATATAGTCGGTTTAGCCTTTCTAAATCCAGTGGAAACCACTGCTTGAATTAGGATTGATTCCATGGTGGGATTATTTTAGGGTTAAATCTAGGTGGTTAGATCATGATTACAGGTTATAACATTAATACGATGCCTCATCGGCGAGAGTTCTGTTATGTTTTAGACTTTTATAGTTGATCAGATGCCCTGTGACATTTAAGACCCACCCCTTCAGTCTGCACAGCCTAATTGGGGCCATAAGGTTTGTTTAAACTAGGGCTGCAACCAACCATTATTTTGCAAACGAATTAATCTGTTGTTTTTGTTTTTTTCTTCAATTAACTGATTCATAATCTGATAGCCATAGGCTTCTTAAAGAAGTTTTTTTTTTTTTTTGGTGAAACTAAAACTTCCATTTGATGAGTTCTGGATAGAGCATTTTGATCTTAAATGCAAATATATATATTTTTTTTTCAATCTTGATATAACAGCTGATCTAAGTGGGTAACTCTGTCAGCTAAATGTTCTGTAGATTTAGGCTTGGAGAACTTATACACAGAGTGTATACAAAACAACATTTTGTTAATACAGCTTTCAGACAGTGAATGAGCAGCAGATTAGCAGTGAAAAGGAAGTGCAGCAGTGATCTAATGTAAAAAAATAAATAAATAAATAAATAAATAAATAAAACATGCTGCAAAAGGTAATGATGTGGATGTTCAGGGCAGTGCAAAATCATATATTATGCAAAAATGCATTATATAAAATATTTTTGAGTTTAGTTTCATTTGGTATGATATTATCAGTGTGATGCAGAGTTTTGATTTGTGACATGATTTAGAGTTTTTTCCAACAGTTCAGCAGGGTTATGGCAGTGGGGGAAAGCTTTTGCAGAACCTGCTGGACCTGCAGCGGATGCTGCGAAGGCTCTTTCCAGATGGCAGCAGGGAGAACATTCCATGGTTTGGGTGTGAGGGGTCGCTGATGATGTTACAGGCTCGGGACACGCAGCACTGGGATGAAATGTCTTTAATGGAGGGAAGAGAGGAGCCCTGATGATCCTCTCTGCTGTTCACGCCACTCTTATCATGTTCTTCAAGTTAACGATTAAACGATTACTAAATTTCAATAATCAATCAATCATGATTAATGCAATTGTTTCAGCCCTAGTTTAAACAAAAACAAAGTACATTTTATAAAAGAAAAAAAATATATACCTGGGGAAAAAAAACTTTGTTCAAAATAAAAACTACTTTCAGAGTATATTTTTTTNCTTTATGG